GTATAATAGGTTCTAAAATCAGGCAGTGTGAGGCCTCCCACTTTGTTCTTCTTCTTCAGTAATGCTTTATTTATCCAGGGCCTCTTCCCTTTCCATATAAAGTTGGTGATTCGTTTCTCCATTTTCTTAAAAAATGTCATTGGAATTTGGATCTGGATTGCATTGTATCTGTAGATTGCTTTGGGTAGAGTTGACATTTTCATAATGTTGAGTCTTCCTATCTATGAGCAAGGTATGTTTTTCCACTTATATAAGTCTCTTTTGGTTTCTTGCAGTAGTGTTTTGTAGTTTTCATTGTATAGGTCTTTCATGTCTCTGGTTAGATTTTTTCCTAAATATTTTATCTTCTTGGGGGCTATTTAAATGATATTGACTTGGTAATTTCCTTTTTTGAAGTTCTCTTTGTTGCTGTAGAGGAATCCAACTGATTTTTGTATGTTTATCTTGTATCCTGACACTTTGTTGAAATCTTCTATTAGTTCCAGCAGTTAAAGCCAATGGTTTAATTAGGGAAATTCACAGTTTACCCATAGGTTTTTATTATCATTATTATTACTATTCAGATGTTTAAAGACTTGATAATCTTGGTATATTCTTCATATATTCTGATTATATGATACTGTGTCTCAAGATTATTATATATCTAAAGCTCTTTAAAAATAAGGTTAATCATTATATTTAGAAATTGTTTTTGTCTAAAATTTCGTGTTAATTGACTTTATTTAGCTTTGTGTTACTTCTGTAATTCCCATCAGGCCTTTCACTTTAAGGAATTATTATTATAAGTTAACCATGGACATTTTTAAGTTGTCATCTACAGATATATTTGACTTTACTTATTCGTGGAAAACGCTTGACCAAAGTATTTCAGCAAACAGCGGGCTATATCAGACTTATGAAGAAAAGTATAATATCTCGAACATGGATACTATTGAACTAAATCAAGGTTTCTGGAACTCTTATGTAGAAACTGACGAGGCTTTCAGACTCCTGTTGATCCACATTGCATGAAGCCAAAATTAACAACATAGGAATGAGTAAACTAAAATAATTATTATAAGGTTTATATAAGAATATTGCTAATGTTCCATGTTCTATTATCTAGATATAAGACAAAATTGTTTTTCCCTTTCTCTCTCTCTCTTTTTTAATTAATATAGGAATCAATATTCTCAGTAACTAATGACATTATGTGGGCTACAGAATGTTTTTCATAGGGTAAAGAAGCCTTTGATGATCAGAAACTAAAATCACAGGGTTTGCCTAACATTATCCCGGGAGACTATATATATTAGAAAAGATATGTTAAAAGACTCTCTTGAACCTTTCTGGAAAGAGCCATATCTAATTCTCCTTACGAGCCCATGTGCTGCCAAATTATAGGGAGTCAAGACCTGGATTCATTTTTCACAGCTGAAGAAGGCCAAGGCACCCTCGTGGACTTGTTAACCCTCTGGAGAACTAAAAATCACCTTAAAACACCCTAGCGGCCAGAAGCAGATGACATCTGAGGTAGACAGCTGATCTCAAGATCACAGAACAAGACATCATGCAAGTTGCTGAAATTTGCGGACGTTGATGTTTGTTACTTTTTTTGTGTTAGTTCCTCGTTATAGCAACTTAACATCATTACTGAGTAATGCAAGCTGCTGAGATTTCAGATCTTGTTTAATACTTACTACTTTTGAAATAGCATTATTTTATCAACTTGGATTGATTACATAGTAAAGTTTTATTTTCTGATGCAGGTGATTGAAGGAACTTTCTTTATTGTAGCTGTTATTTTTATGCTATTTGCCTCATTGTATTATTTTATTAAGCATTCCTTCACTATGAGACTTTTTAAAAATATTCTCATTTTATACTCACCTATCCTCATTAATGCTTATTAAAAGAATGCCTTTATTAGGTTAGCCCAAGCTGTAGCTAGTGCCAGAAGCTTAACAGACTGCTGGATTTGTCACCCCTTTCCTATCTCCAGTCATGAAAACTCTGACCCACTAGCTATTACCATTACAAATTATAGTTTAATACCTAACTTCACCATCAATCCCAATGACAGCTAATCTTATCTCTCCCAACATATAGCTGTTAAGATAGAATAGCAGCCCAACAAGAATTCTTAAACTCCCTTGTAAAAATAGTTTTAGGAAACAGCATACAAACTGGCCTAACTATATTGCTCATTTTCATAATTTTTTTGGATTGGTTAATTGCATTATAATATGTCTTTCCAAACTATGTATAGAAACTGCAAAACCTCTTGCTATGCAATGAATAATATATTTTGAAGAGATTATAAAGGAAGCAGACCCTCCACTTCATACCACTGTCAGGTTGTTCCTGCATAATTCAGCCTAGCTCGAACCCACCCTCTATAGACAATCACTGAAGCGGAGTGTTCCCAGCAATAGCATGGTGAAGATTATCTGATGCCGCCTGGCTATCTAACAAGTAGCACCTGAGGTCTTAAAGCTTATCAATCATAAGCAGCCATCTCAGTCCAGCAAACAGCCAATACAGAAGTGTGATGAAGGGAAAAAAAGTGTGATCAAGGGAAGTCCCACGGAAATTCTTGATCAAAAGGGGGGGATGTGTAGGAGCATTCCAAAACTCAGGTGCTTAGCATGGTAGAGTCTTCTGTCTGAAGTGTAGGCCTGACTCCATTTTGTCTTAAGATTTACTTATGCTTTAATGTGTGATCTGTAAGTATAAGATGGAAATTTTTACAAGACGTTGTGCAAACAAAAATTAGGTTATGCTAAAGAATGTGGTTTTGTTTGCCCTCATTTTGCTTGCACAGATGTTCCAAGAAGCATGTGACTTTACTGGTTAGCTAATTCTCAGAAAATGTTTCTTGGCCCCCTTAAAAAATGTTTTTACAATCTTGTACTTTTCCATGGCTATGTCTCTACCGATGTTAAATATCAACCATTCATATTTTATGCCGTAAAGTTCCTCATACCTGCAGTCTTTGTCTTTATAAGCTCTTGTCATGATCAGCTTTTCAGATCACTTTGTATTTTTACTTAGTTCTACCAAGCTACAGTTGTTCTATTCCTCAATAAAACTCTGTTTGCTTTGTACAGAATAAAGACTTTTTTCTTTGACATTATAAGTATGATAAACAGTAAACATTCTAAAATTATAAAGAATTCAGGCAACAGATACCAAAAGCACCCATTCCTTTATAATGAAAGAATAAAGGGCAACAGAGCAAATCATCATCATAATAGCTGAGCATTTAATATTTGCTGGGAACTGTGCAAAGATCACTGCATCTCACTTAATCCTCACAATAACCCTATGAGCTGGGTGCTACTAACATTGCCATTTTTCAGATGAAGGAACTGCAGGACTTTGAACTGGTTCTTATGGTTCAGTCATGGCCTTGGAAGCAAAAACTGTAACATACCCAAATTTTAAAAATTTGGGTGAACTGGAACGATAACTGGAATGGGAAAAATTACAGGTCAATGCCCTGCTAGAAACCTTATCTCCCTCTTAGAAAAGAAGGACAGCGTACATGTTGCATAGGAACCAAATCTCTTGCCCATAGGATTTTGAGCAGAGTCAGAAACAGTGGTGCCCCACTCAAAGATGGCAGCTGACTGTGCCATTTTGTATGTGTGTCGCTCTCCACAGTCCTGCCAATAATCCAATCTCATGCATCAGGCTCCTGAAGGTGCTCACTATACCTCTTCCTAGTCTCCCATTCCAGGGATTAGACCCTTAATTTTTCCCGTTCTGGTTATCATTCTGGATCATTCAAATTGAAAAAATTTGGGTCTGTTTCAGTTTTGTTTTATCGCCATGACTGAACCAGTTTGAACTGGTTCAAAGCCCTGGGAAACTGTGGCCCAGAAGGGTGAAGTAAAGACCAGAACCCAGACATCTGTTGTTCCAAAGCTCATATTCTGTCCACACTCACACTCCCTGTGACCCGCCTCTCCTTTTCACACACCCGCAAGCTAACCTGGGCTTGTAGAGTCTCAGCGGCCCTGGGTGGCTCAAACGGTTAAGCACTGGACTACTTACAGAAAAGTTGGCGGTTGAAACTCACTCAGAAGCGCCTTGGAAGACAGGCCTGGTGATATGCTTTGGAAAGGTCACAGTGCTACAGAGCAGTTCTACTGTGCACACACGGGGTCGCCATAAAGCAATTGGGCAACCACCACCACCAACAACAACAACCAAATCAAAAACCAAACCCATTGCCATTTACTGGATTCTGACTCGTAGTGACCCTATATGACAGAGTAGCACTGCACCATAGGGTTTCCAAGGCTATAAATCTTTATGGACGTAGACTGCCACATCTTTCTCTCACGGAGCAGCTGGTGGGTTCCACCACTGACCTTTCAGTCAGCAGCTGAGTGCCTTAATCACTGCCCCATCAGGGCTCCTAACAACACTGAAAAACCGAAACGAAACCCGTTGCCGCCAAGTCGATTCCGACTCATAGCGACCTTAAAGGACAGAATAGAACTGCCCCATAGGGTTTCCAAGGAGCAGCTGGTGGATTCGAACTGCCAAACTTTTGGATAGCAGCCTGAGCTCTCAACCCTGGCACCACCAGGGCTCCCAACAACCCTATAACTGGTTGCCGTGAAATCGATTCCAACTCATAGCAATCCTATAGATCAGAGTAGAATTGCCCCATAAGATTTCCAAGGAGCAGCTGGTGGATTCCAACTGCTGACTTTTCGGTTAGCAGCTCAACTCTTAACCACTGGCCACCAGGGGGACCCAAAAGTACTGGTCCCACCAGTCCCGCCCCTCGTCCTGGCCCGGAAGGCCCAGCCCCTTCCTCTCGAGGGTCACGCCCGGGTCACGCCCACGGCCCCAAGCCAAGTGCCTTCGCAGGCCCAGCGCCTGGCCCCGCCCAGGCCCCGCCCACGGGCCTCGGTGTCGCTGCGGACGCGGTTCGCAAGTGGAGTCGCCATTTTGCTCCTAGAAACGCCGAGTGTTGACCCAGCGCTTTCTTCTCTACGCCCGGGAGGCTTCGGTGGGGCCGGGGTCAGGTAGGCGAGCGGGAGCCAGGGCTCTGGCGGCGGGCGGGCCGGTGTCCCGGCGACGGGAGGGGGGCGTCTTGCACCGAGGACGCGGCCCGGAGCCGGCAGCCTCCCCCTCCCTCCTCGCCCGGAGGGATTGGCGGGCCCGCGGGGCCCTAGGGTGCGCCCGTCGCCAGGCGCCGTTTTGGAGGCAGGCCACAGTTACGAGAACTGCGGTTGGGCAGCTCAGAAAACAACCCCCAGACCAGCTGTCTCCGATCCAGAATGTGACAGAGTACCAGATTTGAACTTGGCTGGCCTGGCTAATCGTGACCATTTCTTTTAGCCCAGAAGAGTCTTTTTATTCCACTGGGAACTTATCCTAGCAGAGGTTGAGGGAGGACCATAATGTCATTTTTAGGTCGTATTGTACGTTTAAGTGTTTTGCCCCAATACATCATGTGGATAATAACGATTTTTTTATTGTGTTAATGCAGGTACAGTTTGTGTTTAGCGCCTTTGCGGGCAATATGGAAATGCGAAATGGGGATTCGGGGCGCGAGGAAGTGTAAGCTCTGCTGTTTAACAAATTTAAATGCAAAACAACACACCCACGTTATTGAGTCTCAGGTCTGGATTTACTTCCTGTCTGGTCTATACCGTTACTCAGTTGTGTTTGGAGGAGACGTTGTTCCTGTCTCGTAGGTGCTTTTGCATAGTGCTAAAGATTTGGGTTTTATTTATTAAATCTGTGTTCGGAGCTTTACTTAATTACCCTATTAGGAAACCATTACGTGTGTCCAAAGTTCCTTATTTTAACACACCTTGCAGTGAGTGTCATTGGGCATATAGCTTTTTTCTTCTTTCCTTGGGATAAATTCCCAGAAGTGGAAATAGTGAATTGAATTTATGTATCCCTCTTATGACACATGATAGAAATTATTTTCCAAGCATGGCATGTTTACAATGGACGTTTTTCAAAATAAGGATACTTGTGCATACATCATTTGAGGTCTACACTCACTTTGTGGGATTCAGCCTGGGTCTGAAGTCATTTTTGTGTTGTGTTGAGACAGGCTGTATCGCCTCCTTTGGATGTAACTAACTGTACTGCAAATCAGACTGAGGACAAAATAAAGGTCTCTCTGCCTGTTATAGATCATGCGGCCTAGAGGAAGTTTCTTTATCTGTAAGTCTCACTCCCCCCATGTAAAATGGATTTAATTCCCACTTCTTTGAGTTGTCATAAGAATTCAGAACACTCAGCACAGTGCCTGGTATGTACTGAAATGGTTAGTAAATGTTAGTTATAGGGAAGTGTTCTAATGCCAGAAGGAGCCAGATGTGTGGGATCACAGAGGAGTGGAAGATTAATTTGAGTTAGATTTTGCCCTTCAAATTCTCCATTATTTATATTAAAAAAACAAATTTTCTTTGAGTAAGGTACATCAATAATAAAAATAACAATTTTTTATGCTTTATGATGCCTTTTAGTTTATAGACTACTTTCAGTTTCCAGTTGTTAAATCTTTGCATTCATTGAGGTCAGGCTTCATTCAGCAAGCTTGTGCCAGGTGCTCTCTAGGCACGGGGGTACAGTCGAGAATATAATAGTAAAAACATTTCTGCTGAGCTGAGCCTGTTTGTGTCCAGAAGGGACAGGCTGAGGCCCAGAGAGGCCAAGTGACTGGCCCACAGCCTTGTAGCTAGTAAACGACTGAAGGCAAACGCAGGTCTCTCACTCAGCATCTTTAGACAAGTGTTGCTCTGAAACAGTGGATGCTTTCAGAGGGAAACTAACAGACATGCTTTAATGCTGAGCCTTCCTCATCTGAAATGTAGATGAATGGTTTTGAAATAACTGCCAGCAAGTGATCTCTCTCAGTGTGGACGCCATCCATCAGATTTAACAGATTCACAAATCTCATTCGAAGAAGAGTATGATATGCTTTTTATAAGATGCTGAGACTCTTTGAAAAGGATGTGTTTTCATATAATAAATCTTTACACATTATAAATGTACAAGCAACTGTAGTTTGGGGGGAAAACTGAAAGTGTTATCTTGAGAATAGCCTTTAAAACTCTCTTTTCTTGAAGCTTGGTATTGGTAAAAAGCACAACCTGAATTTCCAGCAGGTAGGAGAGAACTAAAAATGGTTGAACACCCTAATGTTTGACTAGCTTGGGAATTCAGTAGTCACAGAACAGGATTATATTGATAACCATTTCCTTAGTCTCTGCAGACAAATGGACTCTCCTTCCCCAGCCATTTTAAGGGTCGTCTTAGGTTAGGGTTCCATTATAGAAGCCTAGTACCTAAAGAACTGGAAATTCAGAGAGGATGGTCAGGGTGATGACTGAAATTTAAACCATGACAGACAAGGAAAGGCTTCAGGAAGTATCCTGGAGAAGAGGTTACACAGAGGCAAGGGAACTCGAGGTAGGATGAGGGCTGTCCTGCGCAAGAGGAATTGGTTGTTTTCCTGCAAATCTTCAAGGGAAGGAAAAGGACACGTGGTTAGAGGCTGCAAGGAGAGAAATCTCAGCATGTTCTAAGGAAGAATTTGGAATGGATGGGCCCTCAGAGGATTGTGGGCACCAGGCCCTGGGAGTAGTTCCTTGGCAGGGATGTTGGAGATGAACTTCAAACGGCAGACTGGACAGCAGGACCAAATTGCCTCTAAAATCTTTGCCTACCCCGAAGATACTTCATTCTGAGTGACCCAAAAATCACCCCCAAAACACTGTTGTACTTTAAGGGCTTCTTATTTCAAGGTTGAGGGATATAAAAAGATGACAGCCCCATTCATATTACTGTACTGTTGGGTAAATAACCAAAATATTAGAGGTTGACTCATGTAGCTTCCATTTATCAGTCGTGTGCTATATGATGGGCACTGTGGTAAGTGCTTTACAGAAGTTATTTAATTTTACAGTAACCCTGTGCAGTCAGTCTTCACAGTTGTATGGATGAAGGAACAGAGGCTAAGGGAGGTTAAGCAACTTAGACAAGGACTTGCAGCAAGCTGAGGTAAAGTAGGAGCTAAGATGCAAGCATGTGTCTGACTCCGAAGTCTGTATTTATGACAGGAGAGTGAAATTTGTTGTTTCCTTTCCCAAGCTAGTAACCTCTGTTCCTAAGCACGGATGTATATTGGTTGAGAGACCTCTAAAATGCCTTCCAGCTTTAAGCATTGTTGACTAAATATATTATTTCTTTAGTTTGTATCAACTACTTTGCCTTTTTCTCACTTGCCTTGGCAGGTCCCACACTGCTCTAAAGCAGGGCTTGCAAGCTTTTTCAGAAAAGACCAGAGAGCAAGTGTCATGGATTGAATTATGTCCCCCCTAAAGTTTGTGTATCAATTTTGCTAGGCCATGATTCCCTATGTGGTTGTCCTCCGTTTTGTGATTGTAATTTTACGTTAAAGAGGATTAGGGTGGGATTGTAACACTACCTTACCCAGCTCACATCCTTGATCCATTGCAAAGGGAGTGTGGCCTGCACCATCTTTAACCTCTCAAGAGATAAAAGGAAAGGGAAGCCAGCAGAGAGTTGGGGACCTCATACCACCAAGAAAGCAGCACTGGACCTGAGGTTCCTGTGCTGAGATTCTCCCAGACCAAGGGAAGACTGATGCAAGGACCTTGCTCCAGCACCGACGGAGAGAGAGCCTTCCCCTGGAACTGATGCCTTGAATTTGGACGTGTAGCCTACTAGACTGTGAGAGAATAAATTTCTCTTTGTTAAAAGCCATCCACTTGTGGTATTTCTGTTATAGCAGCACTAGATGACTAAGACAGCAAGTATTTTAGGCTTTCTGGGCTGTGTGGTCTCTGTTGCAACTACACAATGCTGCTGTTTTATCCCTAGATAGTTTGTAAACACATGAGCATGGCTGTGTTCCAGTAAAACTTTATTTACAAAAACGAGACCTAATTTGGTCTGTGGGCTGGAGTTTTCCATCCCCTGCTCTGGAGGCACACTCTGTGGTGGACACCCGTGGCCCCCTTGGTCTCACAGGGATTTGGTTTCTGTTTATAATATGCCTGTGCAAGGTAAATTGTTTTAGTCCCCATATTTCCCATTGTGGAACCTTGGATTGTCAGAGCTGAAACGCCCCTGAAGAGGCCATCTCTAGGGAAACATACTCTATTTTAAAAAGAATGAGATCGGTCTGTATTTTCTAACATAAATTGTTGAAATGTTTAGTGGGGGAGCAAATTATAGATATGTATGATGTTACCTTTTTATGTTAGAGACATGTCTTTTTTATATGTATTTTCTACGGGGGTCATATGTACGTGAATGTAGAAGAGGCCTGACAGGGTCCACACCAGACTAATATGAACGGTCATTTACTGGGAGGTGGGGAAGTGCCTGTGTTTGGGGGTGGTGACTTTAGCCTCAACTGTAATTTTTTGATTTTTGCAAGGAGAATGTGTTTGTGTGTTACTTACATAATTAGAAATAATAACAGGAAAGTTTGGCTAGGTTTCAGCCCTTTTGTAATCTCCACCAATTGCCCCAGAGCCATGCCAAGAAAGCACAGGAGTGAGGAAACGAAATGGGCTTGCCGGGGAGGTGCTGTGTCCCCACCACCTACTAGACGGCTGCTGCTGCATCTAGTGCAGCACCCTCACTGTGTGATAAAGGCGCTAAACCCGGAGAGTGGCTTGTTTAATCAGCCTTATGTTCCAGTTGAGGAACATGAAGATGACAAGGTCAGTTTTGGACATGACCTGGGCATCTGAGGGGCAGCTGATAAATAGGTATTACAGGTAAAGCCGGGGGTAGATGGGTCGTTTATTCTTTAAGGATCAATCAGTCCATGTCTTGCTAATGGCCCTGCCATTTTTCTTTGTGTTAATCCAGGAGGAATTTTGTTATGAGAGAATAAAAAGACGTCCATAATTGACTTTAAGCAGCAAACAGTAAAATATTAAGTCTAACCATCGGCTTCACTGAGCTTTTCAGCTCCGCCTTTCTTGTAAGTATATCATTTATCAAGTGGTCATGAAAACTTTAAATCATGAAATAACGTATTTCCATAAATTTCAAACTCTTAAATACAAATGAACTGTCTATATATAACAGAAAAGATACCATTATGGTGAAAACTAATTTCCTACAGCTCAAGTCATTTGCTAAAAAAAAAAAAAAAATTAGTAATCTTTTTAAATGGCAGTTGTTAATATATTTTGTATCCTTCTAGGCTCTGAGAATTGGAAAGCCAAGTGGGTTTTGATGTTTTGTGTGGCACCATCTGAATTAGAAACCAAGATGAACGTAACCAAAGGAGGCCTGGTGTTGTTTTCAGCAAATTCGAATTCATCATGTATGGAGCTTTCAAAGAAAATTGCTGAGTGAGTTATAATCCTACCATTAAAGTCTACATCCTTTATGTGATGTTTTAAATTTGATAATCAGATTAGCACTGATGGTTTAACTTGAAAACAGGTACTTTATAGTTAACCTGTGTATCAGCTGTGTATATTGACGACTAACCTTTTTGTTAAGTGTAACCACTTCATACATGTTCACTCAGCAGACATTTATTCAGTGCCTTGTGCGTGCCAGGCATTGTGTTAGGTGCTATATTTGCATAGAATTGTTAGAGTGAAAAGAACAGTGAAATATATATTAGATGGAAACAGTTTATAGTTTATTGTTAAGTATAATTTTAGATATTAAGTATTTGTTGAACCCCTACTATGTACTAGGCCTCGATCTAGATGTTGGGGATCAGTAGTGAGTAAGCCAGTCAAGATCCTTCCTCCTTATGGAATTTAGATTTTAGTAGGGAAGCCAGACAAGAAGTAAGTAAACAAAGTAAACAAGATAATTTAAGATGGTGGATAAAGGCTATGAAGAAGATAGTATGAAAGTAGTGATGGAGCAGACAAAGGCTTTAGCCTTTGAAACTGAGGGGATCCTATTTGAATTGAGAACGTGAATGAGCCACCAATGAAGGTCTGGGGGCAGAGCCCCCCAGACAGAGGGGACAGCGGATTCAAAGGCCCTGCGGTGTGGAGGAATTGGTGTGTCTCAGGAACAGAAAAGTGGGTTGAGTACAGAGAGCACAGGGTAGATGGCCACTCAGATAGTCAGAGCTAGACCATGTAGGGCCTTGTTGGGTAGACCTGGGATAGGGGTGAGCGGGTTAAGTAATGGAGTGACATAAATTTAATGTTGACATTTTATCTCATTGTAAGAATTCCTTGATTTTTTAGTCAATTTTTGAATCACCCTTAAATAGTAAAAATATTAGGACTATTCTATTACCTTTTCAGCTTTTCCCCCCTTTTTCTTCTCTAGGCGGCTGGGGGTGGAGATGGGCAAAGTGCAGGTTTACCAGGAACCTAACAGAGGTGAGCTATCTTGGACATGTATAACGTGGGTCTTTTGGTGGAATATGGCATATTGTCTCCATGCTTCATCCTCCACTGTTGAAACGGGGACTGTGTGCACTGCTCAAGTGTGTGACTCGACTCAGTTGTCTACTTAGTTCTGTCACCAGGAAGTCAGGCACGGTGGGGGAAATAGTGTTGTAGCTCCCACTGATACCCTGGTGGCACAGTGGTTAAGTGCCTGGCTGCTAACTGAAAGGTCAGCGGTTTGAACCCACCAGCTGCTCCCCAGGAGAATGGTGTGGCGGTCTGCTTCTGAAAAGATGACAGCCTTGGAAACTGTGGGGGGAAGTTCTACTCTGTCCTTTAGGGTGCATATGAGCCAGAACTGACTTGACGGCAGTGGGTTAATAACCAGCTAATAATATAATCTTGAGACAAGTCATATCTTGGGGCCTGGGCTTCAGGTCTTAGACCTCATCCAACAAAAACTGCATAAATATATGAACCAGCCTGTCAGTGGCGTGAAAATGTTAGATGAGTTGTTGCTTGAATCTGTGACATTTTAGGATGAGTAAATCCTGATTGGACACAATTTTAGTAGATTGTTATTCTTTATGACCACCCAAGCTGCGTGAGTTAGACTTATGAAGGCTTATTAGGAAATACTTTTTGCTAATTGATTTATGTCGTTAGATAGTAACCCCAAATTTTAAGAAATGTGTGTTATTTAGTCTTTGTAATTTCCATGTAAATGGTGGATTTTTGAAATTACTCCAGCAGTAGTGATGGCCAGCCTGTATGGGCTTGAGAGTCATACAGCCTTATGCATGCCAAGTTGTTTAACCTTTCTAATAATTAGGGTTTTTTGAGGATTAGATAAAATAATTTGTGTGCCTAACCCAGTTCTTGGCACATAGTAGGTGCTCAGTAAATAACTAGTTCCCTTTCTTTTTCCACTGTAGACTTTGTCAAGTACTTAAATATTATAAAGGTTATAGGAGGCTCTGATAAAAAGACACAACTTTGCTCTTCCTCTATTTAGTTTTCTGTTATTGACTCCTCTTCCCTATCTCCCAAGATTTCCCATGTGGCTCCAGTAGGGAAAATTATTTTAATATTTGAAGAGAATATGCAGGGAGAGTTTGGAGAAGATTCTGCCTTTAAAGGGAATTGGATGAGGCACGTTGTTTGGAGTCTGGAAGAGGGGAAAGGAGAGAACTATCAGTGTAAGACTCAGGAGGAGGTTGGTTATGTTGGTTACACCCTCCAGGTATATGAATGAGGGAGAGACAACGCTTGGTATCTATTGGGAAGAAAGATGAGAACTAACATTTGTTAATTTGTTAGTTATCAGATTCTGAAAAAAACTGAGTTTAGGGATGATATTAGGTAAGAAGGTCCCAGAGGTAGCAGAGTCAGTATTGGAATACAGATCTCTCTTTTGACGTTAAAGCTCATTTCCTTTCCAGCTAACCACATTCCTTTGTAAACACACCTTAGATTTTTTATAACATTATTTAGGAAAATGTTCAAACATACAAAAAAGTTGAAAGAACAGTACAGTGAACACCCATGCGTATACCTACCACCTAGATTTAACAGCTGAAATTTTGTCTTACGAATATGTATACATGGAACCATCTGAAAGTAAGTTTTAGACACTAAGGCACTTAACCCCTGAATGCTTGAACACGCATCTCCTAAAAATAAGGATTTCTCCTGCATAAATACCATTATCATATTAAAAAAATTAGCTGTAATTCTCTAATCATCTAATATTTAGTCTATAGTCACATGTCCCTAGTTGTTCTCAAGAGTCTTTTATAGCTTCCTTTTTGTTCCAGCCAGGATTCATTGTTCAACTGATGTGTTTGTTATATCTCTTTAGTTTCTTCTAATCTAGAACAGTCCCCTCACCTTTTCTTTTATCTTCCCATGACATTGACTTTTTGAAAAGGTTGTTTTGTAGAATGTTCTGTTCTGGATTTGTGTATTTGTTTCCTTCTGGCTGATCACAAATGTTTGAGAGTAGGGATATTGGATCTTACTTGTCTTTGCTCTCATAGCATATAACATTTTATGCCTAGGTTCTCAATAGATGCTGGTTGATTGAATGAGTATATTTGTTGTTGTTAGGTACCATTGAGTCGCTTTCAATTCATAATGACCCTATGTACAATAGAACGAAACACTGCCTGGTCCTGTGCCATCCTCACAGTCGTTGCTGTGTTTGAACCCATTGTTGCAGCCACTGTGTCAGTCCATCTTGTCAAGGGGCTTCCTCTTTTTTGCTGATCCTCTACCTTACCAAGCTCCATGTCCTTTTCCAGGGACTGGTCCCTCCTGATAACATGTCCAAAGTATGCAAGACAAAGTCTCACCATCCTCGCTTTCAAGGAGCACTCTGGCTGTATTTCTTCTAAGACAGACTTGTTCGTCCTTCTGCCAGTGCATGATATGTCCAGTATTCTTCTCCAACACCACAATTCAAAGGCATCAGTTCTTCGGTCTTCTTTATTTATTGTGCAGCTTTCGCATGCATGTGAAGCAATTGAAAATACCATGGCTTGAGTCAGGCGCACCTTAGTCTTCAAAGTGACATCTTCGCTTTTTAACACTGTAAAGAGGTCTTTGCAGCAGATTTGCCCAATGCAATGTGTCTTTTGATTTCTTGACTGCTGTTTCTATGGGTGTTGATTGTGGATCCAAGTAAAATGAAATCCTTGACAACTTCAATATTTTCTCTGTTTATCATGATAGTGCTTATTGGTCCAGTTGAGAGAATTTTTGCTTTCGTTATGTTGAGGTATAATCCATACTGAAGGCTGTAGTCTTTGATCTTCATCAGTAAGTGCTTCAAGCCTCTTTGCTTTCAGTAAGCAAAGTTGTGTCATCTACATATCGCAGGTGGTTAATGCGTCTTCCTGCAGTCCTAATGCTGTGTTGTTCTTCATATACTCCAGCTTCTTGAATTATTTGCTCAGCATACAGACTGAATAAACATGGTGAGAGAATACACCCCTGATGCACACCTTTCCTGATTTTAAACCATGCAGTATCCCCTTGTTCTGTTTGAATGACTGCTTCTTGGTCTATGTACAGCTTCCACATAAGCACAATTAAGTATTCTGGACTTCCCATTCTTCGCAGTGTTATCCATAATTTGATCCACAGTCAAATGCCTTTGCATAGTCAGTAAAACACAGGTAAACATCTTTCTGGTATTCTCTGCTTTCAGCCAAGAGCCATCTAACATCAGCAATGATATCACTCGTTTCATGTCCTCTTCTGAATCTGAGTATGTAATGAATGAGTATATAATGTCCTATAAAGATAAAATGCTTAGAGTGGCATGTATTACAGCACTCACTCCTTACATACAAGGAGTGAGAAGGATAGATTTACTTGTTTTAAGTCAGAAATGTAATTTCCTCTTAAGGATGTCATGTAACTAAACACTTTTTTAAAAATATGATTATTGGCAATATGTTTATTATCCTTTTAGTATATAATGGCCTTGAGACTTATATAATAGTTCCAGTTTGCATATTTTATAACCTTGAGGAATAATGCAGATTTTTTGTGTATTTTTAAAAATTTAAACTGTGTGCCTTCCTCATCTTCCCTCCCTCTTTTTCTTTTTCCTGCTAGAAACAAGAGTACAGATTCAAGAGTCTGTGAGGGGAAAAGATGTTTTCATCATCCAAACCGTTTCAAAGTGAGTACCGCGCAGTAGCAGTGCTACCATTTTCAGATCTCTGTTAGGCAAGTGTTTAGAAGAGTAAGAATTGGCTAGACAGCAAGAATTGTGGGAGTTTTAAAATTGGTATATCTTACTCTGCTGATTTCTGTGACATAACTGCGACTTTTCTGTGTTGTTTTGGTGTTCTTGGTGAGTGGATGTAACCAAGTGTTGGAGTATAGGCTCTTGGTTAGAATAAAATCCATTGCCATCGAGTTGATTTCGACTCGTAGTGACCCAATAGGACTAAGTAGAACTGTCTCAGAGGGTTTCCAAGGAGTGGCTGGTAGATTCGAACTGCTGACCTTTTGGTTAGCAGCCAAGCTCTTAACCACTGCGCCACCAGGGCTCCAGCTTGATTATAATAGAACCCATTAAAAGTTTTGTAGTAATCACTAGCCAGAATTTGTGAAACTTGTGGGGAAACTCTTAAAAAAACAAGAAAGAAAGAAAAGAAAAAGAGAAATTGTTTGCTTACTTGAGGTTCTTAAAGCTCTTATTGCAGATAGTTTAAAAATGACCACCACCTCTTGTTATTTTGTTGTGTAAATTAAATAAGCTGAGAGAAGGTAATAAAAAAATGTGCTGAAGGATTATGTACTCCTGTCTGGTGTGATATTTGGCGTACGTGTGTTCTGGAAATGGTTTAAGTCATAAGTGTGTAATCTGGCTATAGAAGAGAATGTGCAGTGAGGTGGTCTGTGCCACTCTTCATTCAGACGCCACTCTGAAAGGAAGGCTAATCACCTGCAGCCCATTCTTTCATTGTACATTTGTGCACAAATGCTTCCAGATGTCTTTGTGTGTGAAAGTTCTTCACTCAGTGATTTTTAATGATGTCTAGAAATCAATCTGTTTTAAAGTGAGTAATTTTTTAGCTTAGAAATTTTGGAAAATTGCTACATGCTCAATTTGTGTTTATATATTCATAACACATATACAACAAAGAAAGGGAAGAAGAGCCATATTTCAGGGAAATTTTTTCTAAATTTTGACTATCTCTGTCTTGTCCTTTGACTCAGCAGGATGAAATCTCAAACAACCTGACTGTACTGGGAGGAGATTGCTTGCTGCCCCTGTCTGCCACTCTCCTCTTTCCCAGGCTTGCCACAGGGCCAGAGTGCTAGTGGAGAAGTCACCTGTGCCCACACCTTCCCCTTCACCCTTCCATCATCTTGTATGGAAGGTCACAGGCCACAAAACAAGTTATGTTCCTCTGACTTCTGGGTTTCTGCGAGACAAATGTGATTCCATTAGGATAAATGCACAGAGGTTGCATGATTTGCCCAAGGTGATAATTAGGCACTGGACTTAGAAGTTGGGACTTAAGAGGATATCTTTGGTAATCCTTTTCATTTTCAACTTCTTTCGTTTCTGTCCCTTTGTTTTTATTTCAACACTCATGGCATTTTGCTTTTGCTTTTTGTCTTTATCAGCTTCTTGTTTATCTGTCAAAACTACCTAACATCCCTGTAGTTTCTTCTATTTATGTCTCTGTATTGTTCCTTATTGTGCTGTAGGCTTGTGTTAGTGCAGGGCTTCTCAGACTTGTCCAGGTGGCGGACAACCAAAGTCATGGTATTTGTTAGGAAATGCCACAAATCAGTTAGCATTGAGACTTGGTGTTGTTAGATACATCTTTGTAACTTAGCATCAGATTCATCTAGATTCATGAGGGATAAGAATCAGGATCAGCACAAAGCTGGTTCCTGCAAGGTGGTCTGTCAGACGTATCTCCACTCCAACTTTTCCACTATTTCTGATTCCAGTTGTTCCCCGCCATGGCACTCTCTACTTCTCTGCTGGGTTTGATAATTTGTTGCAGTGGCCACACGGAAATCACAGACTGTACTCACAGTTATGTTGTTCATTAGGGAAGTAACAGGCTACAACTTGGGATCAGGATCAACTTGGAAGTAACAGGAACAACTCAGAATCAAGATCAGGAAACACATATTCAAGGTTTGGAAGGCTCCCCTGAGCTCTCCTTTCTTCAGTGCAGGACAGCTTCCAAGTAGGACAGCTTTCTCAGCTGCTGTCGGCCGTGCTATGAGGCCTCTTGGTCATGTAAGCAAGTAGGCCCTTCTAGTCTGTGCAAGCCCTCTCTTGATCTGCAGGCCTTCTGCCTTCGGCCTACCTGCTGTCAGTTTCCCTGCTGCTAACTGACCCAACTCATGGCCAGTGTAGCCACCCACTCAGCTCTCTTAGCTGCTTTCCTAGCAGTAGCTTTCTGCTGTCACTGCTTGCTCTGCCACCTGGCCTTGTTCCGGGCCTCTCACTGCTGGATGTCTGCTGCAAAGCCCCTTCTGGACCTCTTGCCACCGGCTGTCTGCCGCAAAGCCCCTTCTGGGCAAGGAGCCGTCTTCACTGTTATAGCCCTTGACCCAAGTTACATCTCTTTTAAGAAGTTCCCTCCTCACCTCTCTCTAAAAACCTCTGTGAGGGTGGGGTGGGGTGGGGTTGGCTGCTTATATAAGCAGATCCTTGTCAATTTCAAGGTGTGGCCGTCCTAGCAGAACCATAAACTGACCAATCCCCTGGGTGGACTGCAAGTCACTTAGTCCTGTTGGGTGGTGTTACACACCACCTTTCTGACTAATAAACCGGCTTGTCCTTGCAAGGGAGTAAAATAGACCAGTCACAGGGCAGACTGTGGCACAGCCAATCATTTCTGGCAAAATTACACGCCCAGTGCCAGAAAGGCCGTATATAAAGAGAAACCCATTGCACTGCTATCTTACATTACATTTTAGTAGGTACTAAAAGTTTAAGAAAATTTTGGGAAGAAAAATTTTAAGTTAAGAAGATTCCGTCCATTAACTTAATTTTTCCTGTAATTCAAACAAGAATTTTGTTATTTGAGTTTAGTGGTGGAACGCCTCATCCCAGCTCACGGAAAAATGGTGCTTGTGGCGGCATAGTTTGGGAACCTTGGTATAACTTCACACTCACTGTTGCTTCATCTAGTCTTATCCTTTCACATAGAATGCTTTTCTGAAAGCCTACTTTAGCTCTTCAGATGTCAGGCTTGTTAAATATTAGCAGAGTACCTGCTCGCTCAGATGTTCTGCATTTCCAGTCACAAATTCATTCATTAACAAATATTTATTGAGTATCTACTATATACTGGTCGCTGTTGCAGATCTATGAGATGCATTAATAATTAAAACAGATAAAGTTCTTCGTTTTATGGCGTTTCTATTCTAGTGGAGAAGACATATGATAAATGTAATAAGCAAGTAAATTGTCTAGGATGTTACAAGGTCATAAGTACTATGGGGAAAAAACAAGAATGGCGTTTGAAGAAATTGGGAGTGACGGTGGTGTGAGGGTAGACAAAGGGCAGACAAGGTAGGCCTCATTGAGAGTGAAATTTGAGTAAAAATGTGAAGAAGGCAGGGAAGTTAGGTCAGCAGATAGCTGGGAAGGGAAACATCCCAGGCAATGGAGGTACCCATCGCAAAGGCCCTTGGGTGGGAGTGAGCAGCAGTGTGAGGACCAACAAGGAGGAGTGTGGCTGGACTGCTGAGAGAGGGGTGTGCAGTAGGTGGTGAGAGTGGAGTTGATGGGGGCCAGATTGTGAAGGGCCTTGCGAGCCATTGTAAAGCCTTTGGATTTGCTGTGGGCAAAATGGGAGACCTGTTCAGGGTTTTGAGCAGAGAGTACACATTCTGACTTCCACTTTAAGAAGGTCAAGCTGGGTGCTGTGTGAACAGGCGGGAGAGGAACTCCCGGAGGAGCAAGAAAAGCTGTGACAGCCATCTAGCTGAGAAGTGAGATTGCTTCAGTCTAGGGTGGTCCTAGTGTAGTGGTGAGACTTGCTAACTTTCTAGATAAGAGGAGGCAAGGATGGCTCTAAGGTTTTTTTTCGGAGTAAACTGGAAGAATAGTGTTGCTATCAACTGCGATAGCAGAGGTCTTAGGGTAAAGCAGGCTTTTGGTGGAGGAAAGAGCAAGAGTTCATTTTTGGGTATGTTAAGCTTTGAGATGTCTGTTAGACATTCAAGTGGAATTGTCAAGTAGCAGTTAAATTTGTCAGACTGGAGTTCAGAAGAGAAGCTTGGGCTGGAGATACAGATTTGAGAATTGCCAGCATATGTAAAGCTCTGAAATTGGGTGAGGGGATATAGAAGGAGAAGGAGACAACTGAAAGAGTTTTGGGGCATTCCAACATTAGTAGCCTGGAGAGAAGAGAACCAATAAAACAAACCATAGGAGGGCCAAGTAAGGCAGGAGAACATAGTGGAGGCCTTGAAGGGAATAAAGTATATCAAGGACAGAAATCAGACATGTCCAGATGTTGCTGATGGGTCACGTTAGAGAAGGACTGAGAATTAACTGTTGGATTTAGCTACGTGGAGGGCAATGATGAGCTTGATGAGAACAGTTGGTGGAGTAATGGGGGCAACAGTTTCGTTGGGATGTGTTTGGGAAAGAATGAGAGTAGATGAATTAGAGCATGGACAGCTCTCTTGCATTGTGATACAAAGGCTTCAAAGGAATGGGCTGGACATCGTGGTCATGATTTGTTTTTTAATACGAGAAATAACAGAATGTTTATAGGCTGATGGTGTGACCCAGTGGAGTGTAAAAAATTGGTGATGGAGGCAACGAAGGGAGACTTGCTGGAGCAGCGTCTTCAAGGAGTCTGGAGGAGTGGGCACTAGTACACCGTTTATCTCTGAGTGATGAGTGAGAGTGGGCAAAGTTGTAGGGTGCAGATGCACAGGCAACAGGAGTCTGTGGAAGATCTCTGACTGGTCACTTTTCTCAGTGAGAAAGGAAGTATGGTCACCAGCTGAGAGGGAATGTGGGGAGGAACTGGTAGAGGCTTAAGAGAGGAATTTATTGGTTTCTTCTTGGTGCCTTGAGTCTTAAGTCTAAGTAGAGGCAGGTGTAGCACATTGCTGATGCTTCATTGCGGCAGTGAAATTTTACCAAGTGTCTCATATTTGTTGGTGGGGTTTTCTGTGTCTTGGACTTCAGGGATGTGAATACCACTGTCATGGAGCTCCTGATCATGGTGTATGCCTGTAAGACCTCTTGTGCCAAAAGCATCACTGGCGTGATACCCTACTTCCCTTACAGCAAGCAGTGCAAGATGAGAAAAAGAGGCTCCATTGTCTCCAAGTTGCTGGCTTCGATGATGTGCAAAGCTGGTAGGAGTGGTAGATACTTGATAATTATTTGTGGGCCTGGGAGTTTTATTTTTAAAATGTTAAAGCATTGTCTTAACTAAATTAAAATGCTGAGCAGAGTAAAAATACTGATGCAGCTTTTAAACACAAGTAGTTTATAATGAGGAAACAGTGCAGAGAAATCTGTCCTGTCCCCCGTTCCTAAAACACAAAGGAAATGAGAACTCCTTATTTCTTTCATTTTTTCTTAAATTTTTTATTAAAAAATATATATATTTAAATGATCAGTTATGATCATATTAAGGTCATTTTGAAAGGAGAAAAAGTCATTCTGAATCCTACCATGCTAACAGAGCAACTTTTTATTTTAGCTTTCCCTTACCTAGGACAAATAGGCATATTTTGTAAACCATGTGTTATTTTGTGTTATGCATTTTCGCCCTGTTTCTAAATAGTCTTAGTTGTTAGCATGTGTGCTTGTGTGTGCGTGGATGCATGTGTGTACGTGTGTGTATATGATTAAAGAAGGTATATATCAGAGAACATTGGGACAGAGCAAAAAAAGACTAAAAGAATTAAAAAGTCTCTATATCACTGCATTTTAACACAGACACTGTAGAATAAATTTTCTTAATGTAACATGCCAAAGAAAGCAAAAACAAAGTTTGAAAAGTCCAAACCCTGGCAACCTAAACTGTATGCCTCCGTTGAAAACTCTGTGACAGACAGCTGGCTTAAAGGGAGCAAGCTGGCTCACTGAGTCTTTTGGAAAGGTTTTGCCATTCTCTTCTCGCCTTGCTCCTGGGCCACTGGGCTCGCTTTCCTGCTCTTTTTGGCAAGTTTTGCCTTTTAAAATTTTTCCTATTGAACTTTTCTTAGACTTTTCTGGTAATCATTTCAAATGTCCTCTAAAGAGGCAGTGGGGGTGAGGCTTTTCGTTTTTTCCACTTTCTATGTCAGTGCAGTTTGTCTTAATATCTTAGGAGTGAACCTTGCCATGGCTGTTAAGGAAACTTTAGGGAGATGCAATCAGCTCTAATAGAATTATCAGAGACATTTCTTCGTTACCATCATCTTTGGTATTTCAAGATTTTAAATTGAGGTGAAAAATCATGCATTTCATAGTACTAAAAAATCTGAGAAATAAAGGTGCTGAATTTTTTTGATGGAAGAGTAATCTTTTCATAGTAATTTATTATGTGTAGTATTTTATTTTGTGTGGTACTTATTTCATCCAGTACAATGGTTGTTAAACTATATACCTGTGTCTGCTTTATTTTCAAAGGTCTTACTCATCTTATTACTATGGATTTACACCAGAAGGAAATTCAGGGCTTCTTCAATATTCCTGTTGATAATTTAAGAGCATCTCCCTTCTTGTTACAGTATATTCAAGAAGAGGTGAGGTAGCTCCAAACTTTTTTATTTTAACAATCTGTCTAAAGTTGAAAGATAAATTTCCATTTTCTTGGACTATCCCTAAAGGATTGAACCTTGGTGTTTTCTGTTTAAAGTTCTGTTGTGCTTTATAAATGTAATTCTGTGTATTTTTAAATTCTTAATCTGTAGTTTATTATTATTGCTAAACTCTTAAAATTAACTTTTTCTTCTTTTGGAACTTAGGTGCCTAGAATTGGATTAGTCATGATCCTTCGTTTATGACAAATACTCCTTCTCATTATTGGTCCTGTGTGGTCCTGGCTCTCTTTTGTCTATCCATCTAGCCACCCTATCTCTCTGTGCCATTTATATGGATGAACATCCATTTATATGGATGTTGGCACCATGAACCAACAAGAAAATTAGAAGTGTCATTGTAACTTCCATCTACTCATGTGGTCCTTCCTGTCCCACCTCCCTGCCTCCTCCCACCTGACAAAACTACCATCCTGAAAATTATGTCATCTTTCCCTCAATTTCTTTTTCATATAGTTCTATCTCATCTGTATATGGTGTTCCAGATTATGTGTTTACACATACATATGTATGTGTATGTATATAATTTTTATCTTTAACTTTATAAAAAAGAATCAAACTTTGTGTTACCTGGGAATTTTTCACTTGCTGTGACATTACTGAGATTCATCTGTACTGTTGTACATCACAGTTCATCCACTGAGTGCTGGGACATGTCACAGTTTATCCATCCTTCCCCACATGGGTTGTTTCTGTGTGATAGTGCTTCTGTGGACACTGTCGTCTGTTTCTCCTGTGGTACATACACAAGTGTATCTTGATTATTTACTACAGTGGATTTGCTAAGTTGTATGGTTTCATTTTTCCCATGCAGTTATACCAGTTTACATCCCTTCTAGCAGTATATCAGAGACCCTGTGTCCTGGGGATCCATATATGCCTCATACTTTCATTATCAGAGTTTTACATTCTTGCCAGTTAAATGGCTATAAAAGGGTTTCTCATTGTGGCTTTGATGAACGTCTCTCTGATGACTAATGAAGTTGAACATGTCTTCGTATGTGTTTACTCTTCTGTGAAAAGGTCGTTCATGCCGTTTGTTTCTTACTGGGTTTGTAGGCATTCTTTTTAAAATTCTTTATTCAAATTTGTTGGTGTTAATTTCTCAGATATCTGTTTGTAACTTGTCTTTTAGCTTTTTTTAGGGAGTCTTGATAAGCAGACATTTAATTTTTTTTATTGTGGTTAAAAATATGTATGTGTATATAAAAAACAGCACATTTGCCACTTCAGCCTTTTTTACACATACACTTCAGTGACAGTAATGCATCATCATGTTGTGCAACCATCACCACTATCTATTTCTAAACTTCTCTGTCACTCTTAACTAGGACTTTGGACCGGTTCAATCCGGTTCTAACCCTTGCTGAGAATTTGCGTTTCTAACAAGTTTGCCGTAGAGAGTTTGCATTTCCACCCCAGATATACTGAATCAGAATCTACTTTTTTTTTTTTTTATTAAAACACAGGCTAGGGGTTTGTCTTAGGCTGGGTTCTTTAGAGAAGCAAAACCAAATAAAGCGTATAAATATACACATAGATTTATATTAAGGAAACGACGCACATGATTGTAGAGGCTGGAACGTCTCAAGTCCGTGGATCAGGATAGAGGCTTCTCTCAATTCATGTAGCTGCAGGGGCTGGTGAACCCAAGATCAGCAGGTCGGAGAGCAGGGCTCCCGCTCACAGGCTGTGAGGATCGACAGATCCCAAGATCGGCAGGTAAGCTGATAGCTCAAGTCCCAAGAACTGGAGGTCATATGAACAGGAGGCAGCCGCAGGATCTAGAGAGAGCAAAAAAGCCAGAATGTCTCCTTATATTTGAATGCAGGCCACACCCCCAAGGAAACCCCCTTTGAGCTGATTGGCTACTCACAGATTCTGTCATGGGAGTGATCACATATAAACACTGAGAATCATGGCCTAGCCAAGTTGACACACAATCTTTACCATCACAGGGTTCCTGAAACACGTTTTTTTTGTACTTCCGATGAAGGTTTACAGAACAAACTAGCTTCTCATTAAACAGTACACATATTATTTTGTGACATTGGTTAACAACCCCATGACACATTAACAGTCTCCCTTCTTGACCTTGGGTTCCCTATTACCAGCTTTCCTGTCCCCTCCTGCCTTCTAGTCCTTGCCCCTGGGCTGGTGTGCCCCTTTAGTCTCGTTTTGTTTTATGGGCCTGTCTAATCTTTGGCTGAAGGGTGAACCTCAGGAGTGACTTCATTACTGAGCTGACAGGGTTTCCTGGGGCCATAGTCTT